ATTAGGCAGCTGATTAAATTACTGATGTTGTACGGGCCTGATTAACCACATGGAGCTTAAAATACTAATTGCAGTCTTTTCTCCTCCAGAATTTAAGCAGACCAGGCTTAGGTTTTTTTCCAGCATGCTGCTTCTCCCTGTGCATATTAACAGTATAACAATTCTCCTGTCTTCTCAATAGCTCAGTTATGCTCAATTCTCTGCCAAGACACTGTTATGTTCTTAATCCTTCTGGTTATAATTGGTTTAACTAACTGCTCTGATTTAACTTGCTCAGTGTTGTTGCACATAGCAATGGCAAGACCAGAAATATACGTTTTTATTTTTTTTAATGATTTCTCTGATGAGATGAAATCACTTACTAGCTCTTCACAACCGAGGTGCTGAGGCAAATACCAATCAGACTGTATGCTGCTACCTGACTGAATGGCCTTCAAAGGTCACTTATCGTTTCCAACAGTTTAGCAGCTGGGATGGCCTATGCAGCTGCTACCTCCAATGAGCTACGTAGGATAATAATAATTTGTAACTACGCAGCGCTCAAAATTTAAGTGCCATCTTGGGCAAGCTCTATCCACATCTTATTCTGTACATGCTATGTATGGCACTGTGATTAAGTGTGGGATAATTGTCTCCTAAAATGAGATGGAAGGCAGTAAACTCGTTATAAATGTCAACATTTATAATTACTATTATTGAGTTTATGTGCATGGAAGGAAGTGGTTTACTTCTTTTACAAGCTATTAGCATTGCCAGCTTTAGTTCAAACTTAAAATACACCTGGATTTAAGACTCATCTTCAGTTTTTAATACACAGGAAAGCAAATTCGGTTTCATCTCTGAAGGTGATTAACCAGTCCCTAGACTGGTTTCACTTTGCATGATTTGATTTGCCTGCATATCAGTCAGGTTACTTTACAATTCTCTTCGACTTGCCCCCAGCAATGTTATCAGGGCAACAAACAGGCTGGGTCCTGAACAGCAACCATGCCAACAGAACTCCAGTTGTACAGGATGTATCACTAGTTCTTATGTAAATAAACAAAGGAATCAGCTGGACTCCCAGACCTAGAGAGATTGTAATGGCAAAAAATCCAGCTTTCAACTCAAACCAAACCACTGATGCTGAAAAATTCACCAAGACAGGTCAACTACTTACCATTACAAATCCCAACATCTCATTTACCATGGCAAGTGCCAAGCTGTCTCAAGCTCCCTACAGTCAATTTACATAATCCAAACACCCCATGAACAGCAAGAATCAAGTGGCTCTATGCTAGAACTTTCCAGAATTCCATTCCAAGAACCAATTTGTCATCTTTGTGTATACTATGACCCTGAAAAGTCTGCTTATTGTGTCTTTTTTGTTATCATTGTTTAAAAAATCCCTTTATCTACAAAACAATCTGCAGTTCATTCATCTTTGTGGCTGAACAGAGACCAAGAGCAGCATTCAATGAACTGTTGACAGGCAACTGCAACACTTGCTCCTGCTCGTTAAAGTTTCCAAGCTTAGTGACTTCGAACTGGAAAGCAGCTCCAAAAGTTTTGCAGAAAGAAGCCTTCTCCCTTTCTGTTGCTCACCATGCTCTACCATATATCAAAGCCAAATGTGATGATATATGAGATACTGAGTTCTCTTGAACAGAGTCTGTGTGCTCAAGATGTTCAACGCTCTTGAGGACAACTGTTCCTTTGAAGAAAGGGATCACAGATTAAGTATGTTTTGTTAAGACCACATGATGGTCTTCTATCCAATTTACACACAATGCAAGTAAAATCGGACTAACATACATTTTCAGACATTGATCTGATAATTTAGAGGGGTTTCAGATTCAATACTGGAAGCACCATTACCAAAAACCAGTAACGTGGCTCTGCCATTGCTTTAGTTGTTAGGAGAGGTTTTTGCAGTCTGGATGAAGGAGCAAGTCATATACTTGTATTCCTATATAATTATATTCCTGGAGATGACTTCAGAGTGATTGAGGTTTGCTAGTAACTTACATGCACAAACATTACAAAGAATTAACAGGTTAGTTTGAACAGAAATCAAGAGTCAAGAAACTACGGTCCCAATTCAGGAAGCACGTTTGCATATCACCCATCTTACATTCTCTGTAAGCAGCTATTCAGCTTTTCATAGCATCTGTATTTTGTCTGTGCTGCCTCCTACTAAAGCCCTATTTAATCACTGGCAGCTTGCTGGAGAAATATGAAAGGAGACATTCACTTTTTTAGTTATGTAAAGTTTTTGTAACTACAACACCTTATATTATAAATTTGGAGCCTTCAAGTGCTTCATTAGATTTAGAAATAACCTAAGAGAATTTACGTAGTCTTGCAAAATGATATACAAAAAAACCTTTAATCTAAAAACACTAATTGGTTCCTACTACTTATTCCTCAGCTACAGACTATCTTAATCTGACATCAAAATGTCCATGAAGGTTTGATGTCATGAAGAACAGCAGCTATTACACACAGAGTGTGTGGTAAACAGAAGCAGGCAGACAAAGAAGCCGCAAAGGCTCTTTTCAGGAAAGCATTCTTGAAGCCATTAAAAGATTTATCTGTGGCCCAAAACACAAGGCTGGGAGCTCGCCATCTACTGTTCTGATTCCAGCTCCAACTCTTGTGCTCTTGTAAAACCACTGCCCTGTTTCCTTCATCCATTTGTTCAGCTTGACTAATTTAAAAGCAATTAAATTTTTGTGATATGCAGTCAATTCAGAGGTGCTTACCAGTGACCCAGTTTAACACTGTTCTGCACTTGTCTTATCAGCACCCATCTAGTCCTCATTTTCTCATACTCAAACCAACTGCAAGCAGTGGTCCTCCAGAGTCCCACTGGTAATTCCACAGAATCCAAATAGAAGTTTTTCAGCCAAAGCCCTTAAACGAAGAAAAAACTTTGTCATGCTACCACGAAGCAGCTGCTCAATTCACCCAATTGAACTTTTGCCAACTTCACCCACAGAAAGTGTCTACAAAGTAATATTATCTCTAAAGCCTTAAGGTAATTAAAAAAATGCATTACTAGGTAACAGCACTGAAGAAAATGAACACAGAAACACTTTCATGCAGGAATCATCCTATGAGGTGTTTCTCGAAGCTGAAGGTCGACTTTGATGCTTAAAAAGCCAGCAACACTTTCACAAGACCTGTAGCTGAGAAATCCTTTGAGATTTGACAGGGTTCTGGCTATCCAGCTGTTATATCCATCACTTACAAAAACTGCTACATCTCGTACAGAATCTGGACTTACCGAGACCTCTTTGAAATGATGCACTTAGTTTCTCATTAGAAAGAGTGACTAAGAATTCTGGTACTCCTTGGCACTAAATTAGCAGGATGAAGCCTGACATGCGTTTTAAGCAATATGAGAACAAAAAATGTCTTCTGAGTTTATTTTTTTCGCCAAACTGGTTCCTGATCTGTTTTGCCTTTCAGCTCAGCTGGATCCTGCCCGCATAATGGCAGGAGAACAGTCTGGAGTAGAAGTTACTTCCATTCTCCTGGTTTGAACAAATACCACACTGTAGCCTCAGAAAGGGGAAAAAATGCCTGAGTTTAAATACTGCAAACAGAAATCAGTTACACATTCCTTGCTTCCTGCTTCATTAAGCAAAACAGATACTGGAAAAAAACCAAAACAAGCAACGCCTAAGCAGACCACAGATTGTTGGCAAATCATCAGCTATTAAGAGCTCAAACAGTCCCTTTCAAGATGAGAGCAAGACAACTTTTCATGTCATTTGAGGCTTGGTTAATATCTGTACTCGAGAGCAGGGAGATAACTCTTGGCTGGTACGGGTATCTCTCACGGACCACTTGGAAGCACTCACTGCACTTCCTGGCTGTATTTGGCCTCACTAATGACATCTCTCCTGAGCAACCACCAACACCAATTGCTGGCACCTAACTGTTCTCAGATAATTTAAACAAAATGAAACCTGTTATAACAGAAAAATTCCCAAGTCATTTCTCCAGCGAGGATTTCCACTGTAATAGTTATCCAACAGGTTCACGTTCAAAAGCAAAAAGCAAATTTAGTTCTAGAGCATACACCACCACCACCTCGTGGCCAGATGCCTCAAGCTCCCAGAACTCAATATATACTGCAGCTGCAATTCTAAGAGCCTGCAAACTGCATGCCACTGACAGATCCTCAGCAAACTACACTGTTATCCTGTGTGTGATGCTCACAACCTTTTAATTATCTGTGAGGAGGTAAAAGTATCCTGCATGCAAACTGCTGTACCATTTCAGTTTCAAGGCAGCTTAAACATCACAAGTACAAGCTGTTTACTTCATGCTATAACTGAAGGAAGCTGCTACCCACTAGGTAAATTAGACATGAGGATTTGTGATTATGACTTTGAATGCACAGAGATGAGTACAAATTTCCCCTGTTTTACTTTCATAATGAAATAAGAAAACTAAGGCTATAAAGACAAATTTGCTGAATTTCTTCTCCTGGTCCATTAAATTTAATGATTTTGAAAACTGCTTCTAGCTCCCAAGGTAAAAAGGGATTTCAGAAACATTCCCATATTTACTTTAACTGAGACGCAAACATCAATTTATATTAGAGATGAAAATTGAAAGCACTGCCCTGCAGTAACCAGCACACAACTGTAAAAGATACACAGTAAAATACTCTGAAAGCAATGTTTACAGTGGGGCAAATGACAAAGGACAGACAATGGGAAGAAAAAGAAGGAAGCCAGAATAGCTAGGCAGAACGAAAAATTAATACAAGACAATACTGTGTCTTAGATGAGACTAAGATGACTTACCTTTAGGTGGAAACTCTTTATACTAGTTAGTAAGCTGATCTGCCAAGGATAGTAAAGTGGTTTACTGCTCCAGAAATTACAACTCAATATGTACTTACAAATAATCCTGAATGTGTCCACTGAATGAGTTATCTATCAATGGGATAGAGGCTCTGTTTGGCTTCCCCTTTCTACACGTCTACTATTCAAAAGACTCACCAATAGTTGTACCATCTTCACCCATAATGCACTTCACGGAGGTGATGATTTGCTCCACAACAGGAGGTGACATTGATGTTGCATACACTGCACTGTGAGAGTATGTCCTGAGGTAATCAATCAGTTCCTAGCAAAACACAAGAGGCATCAGACATTGCCTTCCCAGCACTCAAAGAAATGCTTCATTGTCATGTCTTTAATCACAATAAAATGAGGTACCACATGAAACCTCTTTCAGAATGCCCCAGAAGAGAACAAGTATCCCAAGTACATTTTACAGTACAAGAAATAAACAGTTGAAAACTGAACAGGAGGGACATGACATCCCATAATAATGTCACAGGGCAAGAATGTGTGTTGATCAGAGACAAATGCCTACAACAGACCCGTTTAGATGACACCACCAGCAGTGGATTGTAATAAGGTTTTTGCATTACTCAAGCTGTGCCCAGGATGTGTTTCAGAAGTGTTTATTATAACACGGAGGAGTATAAAACAATGAAATAGTGGGAAGCAGGATCCACAGGTGCTTCTGTATGGTGCTCAATACACTTGTTTCCCCACAAAAGTCACCAAACAAGGAACAGGTCACAAAATTTTCTCTCTCATTTATCAGCAAAATATAAATAAAGCAGTAGGTGTAATTAAGGAGTGCAAGAACCTTAGTCCTAACCCTCATGCATTTCCCAGTTAAACACACATGCTATTTTTGTTAGAGGGCAGAAGTAGGTTAGATAAGGAACAAAGAACCAACAAACCTTAGATCTAGGCTGCTTGTTAACTGTAACAAAACCATGCTAAAATACCCAGACCACCCTAGCAAAATATTATAAACACCAGTATGAATGCCAGGACAGATTCTGTCTTCTGCTACCACAAAATAAATAATGATGACCCTCTACCTACCACAAGCTTGGAATGCATTATAAAAACATGTGGAAGTGTTCTGTTGCTGTCTGTCTAGGGTCAGAGTTAAATGAAAGAAAGTTGTAAAGGGACTTTGAAACAAACTAGGTAAAAAGATTTAAGGCCTCTTAGCTCTGAAGCAATCCCTCAATCAGTAGCTAAAACACAGTTAAAAAAAGATTCTTAGCTGCTTTATCTTATGTCATGGAGTTAATCCCAACAGCTCACTACCTTTGGAAAAATATTTATATGGTGCTTTTTTTTCTGGGAAGATGTAGGAGTAATTTTAATCTAACTATAGTAAACTCCCTAAGAGGAACATCTGTAAGTCCCATCTCCATTTGGATGGGTGGAAGTAATTATCACAATTAATATATAAAAAATTCTTATCCTGGTAGGAAAAGGGTAGAGGTTTACACTCAAATAAAGCTTAGAAGCCTGATCTGTGAGATATATTTTAGGATATGAGAAAGGCAACACAGGGAATTATCTACACCTTCCCTCTGAGAATTTTCCTGCAAGTCTCATTAAAAATAACTTCAATAAATCCGTGTTTGCTGGCTCCTAGCAGTTCCTAGAAAGATACTACATCATTACTATACATTCTGCAACCTGAGATCGTCGCTGACCATGTGAGAACTAAACAATTATGAGGTATTTTACTAGACTAGACTCTTCTGCCCTGCACAGATTTTCATATTATTAGACAGTATGTAAATTTATGAAACAAATGGACAATTGGGGTACTTGAAAAATAGAATAACTTTCAAATGCTTAATGCACCACCTGCCCAAAATAGCCATGCAGTTCCCAGTTCTTTACCTTTTTGCCCCCAATGTATCCTCCTGCAGCTCCAAAGCTTTTGGTGAATGTTCCCATCATAACATCCACATCTTCAGGATTGAGTCCAAAATACTCCACTACACCCCGGCCACTGGGACCCAGGGCACCTATACTGTGAGCTTCATCAAGGTACAGATAGGATTTGTACTTCTTCTTAAGGGCAATCACTTCAGGCAAACGGACTATGGATCCCTCCATACTGTTAAGAAACAAAAATTCAGTGTAAGTTGATTTAATGGTTGGGACAACCACCTTATAGAGTTGAAGTCACTACGCTTTCATTTCTTCACTCTTTCAGCAATTATGAACACTTAAAATTTGCTAGATATACCATGTTCTGCAGAGATGCACCTCTCCTCCTTGCACCTGGGGACCAGAGCTCTAGTTTCTACCTGTTCAACATCTCTGGGATGCTGACATGCAGACTAAATAAGCAGCAGCAACAGTAAGCACAGGAATGTGTTCAGTGACAATTTTATAAATTAATTATCTTCCACCCTTATGTCAGTATTCTGGTCATACATCTACTTACCTGTTGTTTTTAAGGACTAGGCTCTCATGAGTAGCACTCCAAAGCACCCCATTTTGTGCTGAAAGTCACTATGATTCAAATGCCTAACACAGCTATGCCTACTACATGCTCCTACTCACTCTCAGCAAAAACATTATATTTGTGCAATTCCATTCACACTAGCATCATCTAGTGAGCACAGAAAGAATGGAATGGACAAGCAATTTAAGACCACAGTTCTGATATAATCGGGTTTGATTATTTAATTTCTATAATCTAATCAAGATGTGGGAAGCATTGTGATAGCACCAGGTGCAGCTACAGTTCTAGCAACAGAAAACCCGGGATGTGAGACCAACACAGCATAATTTAATTCACAGATGAGATTAATGAAATTACTACGAAGTGAGAATATTCATAATTTGATTTGGCAAAGAAACTCAAACACTAAGCATCTAGATCTCATGTGGAGGGTCTTAGGAATATAAAGAATAGTTTGTACCTGTATATTCCTTCCACCAAGATAAGAATTTTTTTCCAGGGCCTCCGTGTACGAGGTTGCCCATGCACAATAGCATCTTTGAGCAGCTTCTCCAGGCTTTGCATATCTGCACCAGAAATTACTGTTAAATGGTACCAAAACAGCTGGCTTGACCTTTGACATGACTAAAGACAGCAATATTCCAGAAATGCACAAACTGCTCCAGCATGGAGGACAGACCATACACAAGCAAACAAGCACAGGCTTCATCTAGTTGTGGGCCCACAGATGAGACTGAAGAGAGCAGGTGACTGTATGAACTCCAAGGACGAATTTCATAATCCTATGCTAAAAGCATAAGTTAGAGCATTAGGCACTAACCAAGAAAAGGGGGGGAAAAAGAGTATCTCATTTTGATGAAAAGAGAAAGCCATTTAGATAGTAAGAATATCCTTGTGGATAGAAATAATTAAAAAAAGAACAAGTAAGTTCAAGGATAATCAACTAAAGATAAGTAAAAGATAGAACAAAGCACATAAAGAGAAGTGGGGCAAGTATACTTTTTTATTCCTTCATTTAAAATTGAAGGGACTGGAGGTGGGGAACATGAAGCTTCTAAACCAAAAATAGAAAAGAAAGACCAGTGCTGGAAAGAGGACAGTGTTCAGAATATCAGAAACCAGACAGATGAAGCTGTTAGTAGCAATGTATTCTGAAACCTTACTAGCTCCAGCTATGAACCCTTGACACAATCCTAAAAGACCTAACTAATGTGAACAAATCATGAAATCAGTCCTGAAAAAAAAACCTTTGAGGAAAGCAGTGGAGATGGGATTAATCAAAGCACACAACTCAAAGTGCTCAGCAGAGACAGATATAAACACTAGGGCATGAAAAAGAAGACAATTAATCATGAAAAGAGAACTGGTAGAATAGGGCAGTTGTAGCAGCAAGAGTAGTTTGTGAACTAGAACTAGGCTAAAATTACACAGCATAGTAGGTCGGTTAATAGACTGTCAAAGGACAGCTAGTGTTCAGAAAAAGTCAACGAAGAAGGCAGTGTAGTACCTGTCTCCAACAAATCTCTCAAAGAAGAAAAGACAAGTTTAGTGCAGTTCGGGAGAACAGTGGAAAATACTTGTCTGCCCTGACCTCTCAATAAAGAGGGAAAGATTAGGAACTAGGTCTGACCTTAATAAAAAGGACAAACTACAGAATGAGGCAGAAAAAAAAACATTGAACAAGGATTTTAAGGGGGTTTTTCATTTTCCCTTCTTGTAATTTCTAAAAAGCAGAATATGAATAAAGCCATTAACCTCTCAGGGAAATCAAGTTAACTAAGGAAGCACAGAGTACAGCAAGAGTAGGACTGAGAACACATAGAGAAATATAAACTGAACATCATCTTGACAGGCCAAGACCACTGTTTGCATTTTGTCTTCTAATTCTAATCTGCCATTCCATTCTCTTTCACAGAACCCCACCATCTCTAATTTTTCAAGAATTTTCCCCAATCTCACCACTGCTAGTTTGTATCCCATTCCCACAGATCATCTATTCTTCATCACAGCAGAGCTTCTAAGTCCTTCTCCTTATAGCCAGAACTGCATTCTAACCAGTGATCTTTGAAATTCTGGAAACGGATGCAATGTTCAGAAGTATGTGCAGAAGTAGAATGCAAAGCTTTTGTGATCTTGCTCAGCAAACAAGATTTATGAAGAATTAAAAAAAAAATTATGAATGTTACAATAAGCTCTACATTTTTGTAAAGACAATTATCCAAACGAAAGAGAACAAGAGAGAGAACACAAAAGAAACAGTAAGCGCAGCAGAGAATCCACTACCAAGTAGGACAAAGAAAGAAAAATAATTGCAGCCACCCAATCTTTGCTGTCACCACTACACACTTGAAAGAGAGCAAGAGTCATCATGATCTCAGAGACTGACACTATAAAGAATATTAGAAGTCGCTGAAGAATGAAGGTAGTGGCTTTATTAATCAAGGACAACAGGTGCCTCATTCACTGAGAGTAAGAGAAGGAAATCCTAGGTATCTTTAATGTGAAAGTTATTATAAATACCTTATTTGGAGGAAGATGAAATTAGGAAAGTAAAAAATCTGTGTATATTGGAAGCAATACGTAAAGCAAGTAACTCAGTGAAATTAATCTACACTTCACATCCCAAAAATTCCTCTACTACTACATTGTACCAATTCACGACTGTGTAGTTTGGCTAGGACATCTGCAATCGTAAGCTTTTGTTACTGTAGGGTAACGCTGGCATCTGGTTCTAAAATTAAACTTCCTTATCCCCCAAATTGTAACCTAGACCCCTACAAGATTGCATTATTATGTGACACAGACTCTTTGAACAGTCTAACTGTGCTGAGCTATCCAAGTAGCAAGAAGCTATGTTAAAACACCAGTGTCTCTACACCTGCCAAAGGGTAGCATGTTTCTCTTCATATGCAGAAGATTTATCCTGAAGCTGTTCTAGCTTACAAGTGTTATTAGTTGGGACTGAATATATCAAAAAATATCCAATACAAGATGATTAAATTCTCAGTAGCAGCAGTCTTCTGACCTTTCCAGTAGCCAGCAATTGATTTCCTTGCATGACATTGGATTTCCAGATATTAGAAGATACAAGAGTGTGTATCCTATCTACAGCATCTGCAAAAGGCAGAGTCCACCATCTGATACTTACTGTTGTGCTTAAAGATTCGAATAGTTGCTCCTGACAGTCTTGCTCCAAGCACTAGTGATGCATGATTCAGTTCATCACTCAAAATCAGACAGCCCTGAATTAGAAGGGGAAAGAGGAAGATATTGAAAAGGTTATGTTTCCCAGCCATCATATAACACCTTTCAGCTCTGAACTGCTTACAGACAATTTAGGGAAAAAAAAAAATTCAACATAAATGCAGCTAGTCCAGGTAAGACTTGCTAATACACAATTTGCAGCCTTAGTATGGCAAATAAAAATATACAATAAATACAAATAAAAACTGCTCTTAACTGAAGGAACCACTTCAATCTCACTTTTCCCAGAAGTCTGGCAGCTGAATCTGCCTGAATATCTCATGCTAATGATGAGTACTCATCCTCCTACGCAGTCAGGTAAAACAGAGACCAGAGAAGCTTGCCCCAATTCACTCAGCAAGTCTAGGGTGGTGCTAAGAAACAAGCCACCAAAGTCCTAGATTAAAGGCTTTATCAAAGTTGCACTATTTCTTACATTAGGAGGCAACCACTTACTAAACCCATGTGTAGATGGAGGTAATATAAAAGAAACAGGAGGTGGAACACAAAATTGCATAATGAAATTAAGAAGTTTTCTGAAGTCATTAAATATGACATTGGATTTGTTTGCTTTTTCAAAAAGGGAAGATAAATCCTTGAACAAATATTAAAACAGGATAGGCCTGTTTTGAGAGCAGTGATGATTCCAGGTCAATAATTGATATGCTGAACATTTAGTCACAGTGTTATCACTGTGGGCTACAGGAATGTATATACTGGGGGATTAATATGCAAGGGAGCAACAATACTTCTAAATAACCTTGGCCTATTCATTCAAATCACTATGCAAGTGTTCTGCAATCTAGAAGTGACTTTGTTCAGTTAAAAATCCAGAAAGCATGTCAAAATGCTGAAGATTTACCACTAACACCTGCTCATTCTATGCTTGTCTAATAACCACTGGTGGAGGGAAGAATCAAGATTTTTTCTCTGCAATGGGAGTTACTAGAAAGGACTGAGAAAAGCATTGCCTATAGTTACACAAGGAGGTGGCACAGACAATAGGATTATTTTCTCCATAATAAAGGAAATTTTGCACTAGAATGACAGTGAATCAAAAAACATTCTACATCCTGAGAAAGCTCAAGACTGGTTTTCCCTGGAAACTGCAGCAAATTCAAGTGTTCATACTGCTGCGACAAACACACCATATTTCAGAGACTTTGGCATAAGAAGTATGAAAATCTTCAACTAGCGTTTGCTCTTCAAACTCCTATTCCAGACAAAGAGTATGTATATTATATCAGATGGCACTGTTGTCAAACATTACTGTATGAGAAAACCCAAATATAATAACTCAATACAAGCATACTTCTTAAATGGTAGAAAGTAGGAAAAGTGATACATTAAAAGAAGTGATTCCCATTAAAAGGGAAGAAGAGATTAACAGTCTAGAAGGAGCTTCTCCATAAAAACAAGGACGAGCTTTTGGTGCAGAAAGTAGATTTAACAAATTGACAAGCAGCCTCTTTTCATCTGCCGTTAACAGGAGACGACATTCAATTAAAAACAAGTTAATTTGAAACTGAACAAATAGTAAAGAGTCTAGTAATGTCTGCCTCTAGAGAAAGGGCAAAGGATCACATAAGCCACTGGTACAGTACAGCAATCACTGATGATCATATGTAAAACTGAGTGCTGCTACTCCAATGATAAGACTTCAGTTGCATTTATCAGCAAATTTACATTTGAGAGAGCATCTAGGAGAAGGTTAACTGGAGATAACACTACTGGGATCTAGAAAAACATATGTCAGTGAAGATCAGACATACCACTGCATCCTACAAGGCAGACAAGGAAACTAAAGTGAATGCCACATTTTACCACAGAGTGCTACATATATGAATTGTGTAATTCAGTCCTGAGCACTTAATTTCACAACCTACCAATACATGGAAATTAATTTGCTTTCTTACAACAACAGAAAGATCCTTTCAAGCATCATTGCTCCAATTTAATTGTCTAGCCTCTATCAGTCCAGAGCTATGACAAAAAGCTCTGTGCTACAGGCAGTAGAGAATGGTGTGATAAGCTAATTAAAATAACTATATTAGCGACATTTACTCTAAAACAGGCAAGTTTCAGAGTGGCTACTGAGTAAGTAATCCTCAAATTTCATATTATCTGGAGTCTAGGCTCAGCAACCTTGGCAGTGACTATACTAGGCAGCTGACAACTTGCCAGTGAATAGAAGGTCTCTGCTGCTGAAAACTGCCAGGTGTAGAAAGACCTGTTTTTAGTGATGCTTTAACAGTGCTAAAACACAACTTTCAGTCAACACCATTTTCAGCATCTGCTTATGTGGTGGTTTTAATCTAGGCCTTCCCTGGTTACCAGTTTGTAACCAAGGAAGGGGCAGTGTTCCCAGTATTCCATACGATTTTTACGTAAAACAAGGTATATTAAGAAGGGAGGAGAGGCCTTCGCTCTCTTCTGCCGAAGTTCGGGAACACTGGGTCCCTGCATTGGTCTCGCTTATCTAAGGCTGAGGCCTGCAGCATCCACTGGCCTGCCACGTGGAGGCTTGGGGAGTGCTGGCTGTGTGTGTATCAATCCTGTTTTTTTCTAAGGGACGTGGTGAGATTTGTTTTACTAGTTATTTTACTAATTCTCGGGTTTGATTGCGTATATCTGCTCGGTGTTCTTTTTTTTTTTTTTTATTCCCTTTTGTTCCTTTCCCCCTTTCCCTATCCCTTTGGGGGGTGTTTGGATTCCCGATTGCTGTGTACATAGCATCTTAACTGTAATATACATAAAATATATATATTTTTTATATAACTAGCTTGATTTTCGGGTTCCTCAATTTGCATAGTTTTTTTTTCCTTTGCCCTTGGGGAAGTAGGAAGGGGGAAGAGAGGGGCTGCTACTGGGGGGGGTTGGGCATTTCGCAGGGAGCCAAGTCCAAACCGTCACAGCTTAGTAGAAGCTGCTGTTAACAAATCATAGTAAATAACGCAAATTAAATAATGCTGATGAAGCTTTTGAGTTCCTTTTGCTGACTAATGCTGATCATACTATGGGGTAGAGATGGATCTAGGATAGTCAAGTTGTATTTGTTGCTATTAAAAGAGGATTCAGTAGCAATATAAACCAAGTGCTTCAGGATTCCACAGAGCAGAAAAGGAACAGGTTGTCCAATATTACATCCATGCAACCGTATTGCAGTAGTTTGTTCTAAGCTAATTAAGTTGCAATATAGGTGTCCAAATACAATACAAATAATTATTAACTTCAAACATATCTGCAACTGTGAAAGAAACTCCTTTTGGCCAAATGCAGATGCCATTAGTGATTATATTTGCCAAACCTCCAAAAATTCATGTTGCAAGCAGCTTTGCAATTGGAAATGTATGTAGGACATGCAGAGAGACACAAAGAGTAGTTTGAAAAAATAATAAAAGCACCTAAGAGTCTAATCAAGCATGGGAATCTCTGAGCTTTGCTGAGAACTCTATCAAAGCATTGCCAAACAGGTTGTGCACACACTTAATTGTGTACTGGGTGGTGCCAGAATTCAGGATTTATGTGAGTCCTTATTTGCATACAATGAAGAAATCAAATGTGCAGTGAGAAGCAACTTCAGGAAGCCAAAAAGATCATTCTGTCAACATTATGAACTTCAAAATGGCTCATTTGACAAGAACTCTTTTCTTCAGAAGAGTGCATCTTCTGTTTGGAGTATAAGGACATATATACCTGAGTATAAGGGCACTTGCAGTGTTATGACACAGAAGCTTCTTACTTATTTCAAGTGCACAAAAACTAAGTATCCTCATGACTAACACAGTACAGATTGCTGTATCCATCTATGAAAAGAGCTGGTTTAGTAAAGGTATAAGTAAGGTGCATGAAAACAGGTATGTTACATGCCATGAAATTTACTGTTCTGATTTTCTCAGTGATTGTAAAACCTGTTAAAGTTCAAGTATGAAAACTCAGAACCTGAGAAAGGTTTTTCTCATATGGTATTGAAGATATACAGTGGGTTCCATATACATAGAGAAAAAAGAGTAACTTTGCAGTAATGGGTAATTTGTACTCAAAACAGTCAGCTATCTACTAAAATGAATCTGACAGTGTACTCTGAATCTTAAAGGTCTCACTGAAATCATTAATGATTTTTCTGCTGAATAGAAAATTGTAGAGATGCGGAAACACAAAGAGCCAAAAAATGCAAGTAAAAGATATGTCAGAAGTACCACATGCAGGAAGACACTATAGCTAATCCAAGAGGGAATCGCCAGGAAGAAGAGTTGCCAGGAAGAACAAGGCCGAAAATTTATAACCTGTAGATATCACAAGTGGAATAATTTACAAAGTGATCTCAAGAAACGGAAAAATAAATAAGTGAAATAGGAGACAAATAAGCAGAGACAAAGAACGCCTATAGATTAGTATTAGGCTGACAGTGAATTATTTTCAAAAGAGGAAACTGTTCTAGCACTTGCAGTATTTTACTCTACAGAGGAGCTAAGAGAAAATATATTTTGCATCAGAAGACGCAAACAAAAAGTTCTCTTCCATTTCGTTTTCCAATAATTAAAAAAGCATAGTTGGAGATACTGGACACTCAGACTACACTATCTACTGTTTTATTGGGCACAGAGTAGGCATGAGTTCTTACAGTTGACCTTGTATCTCTCAAATAACTTTTTTATAAGGATTTTGCTCCTTCAAAGGGAGGATTTTTCAGCTGTCACTCAAAGGTAAAAAAATTCCCTATGTGCCAACATGCAATTCAGTTTATCTGACACAGTCACTTCTTAGTGTCTCAAAAGGATCAAAATACCTTCAGCCAATCAGCCTGTTAATCAGCCACCATTTCATAAACCAATGAGTAGCCTGAGGAAGCAAGCCTTAACATGTTAAGCTCTCTCCCAGACAGACAGCAAGTTCTGGGCTGCTACTGGTCCAATGGATGCTGTTTCCCAAAGAGATTTGAGGCAAAGGTCAGACCTATAGTTTCTATAGAGAATATCTGCAGGGGTTGCCACTGAACAAAAACAAAAGTAAATAAGCAGCTTTTAGAAAAATTAACCAGTAGAATCTTTGTTAGGTGAGCTTTTGTCCATGACTTAAGCCATACCTTGCCAACTAAAGCAGGAATGTTCATAGAGTTGGTTGCAAACCCCATTCCATATGCCATTGCAGATTCCACACCTAGGAACCTGGCAACTAGCTTTTCCAGCTCCTCATGCTTGTCCAAGTTTCCTGCACATAAAAGAGAAATTCAGAGTAAGGAAAAGCTTTTGCTATTGCTAAATTCTACAAGAAGGATTTCCATCATCCAAGCTACTGTTACTTAAAGGTCCATAAGGGAACACTGAAAGAAAAAAACATGCGTGAAAACATAAGTAAGACAACTGTTGTGCAATATAAACTAAACCCAGGAAGTCACTTTATCTTCACTGAAGTAAAAGCTTCTTTACTGGTCAGACTAAAGTTCAGTGCTGGAACAACTAATGTTTCAAAGACCTGCAATTACAGGTACTGAGATTACAGACTTTGGAACATACATTCGGGGAACATACTATCTTCCTCCAACTTACCCATCTCCTGCCTAGTGCTGCACACCCCAGCTCCATACTGGGATAGAACTTTAGCTGCTGCTTCTTGGCAAGCCCCAACATTCTGTGCAAATCCAAGGTAGTTGTAGGAACCCATATTAATAATGTCTTTTATCACTCTCCCTGTGTACCTGTGTTTTAAAAACATCACAAGTTAGGGCATCCACAATTAAAAAAATTAACTACACCAGAAGATTATTATTTCACTTTCCTAGACTATACACTGAAATGTTAAAAATCAATAGAATCAACCATTAAATTATTTCAGTACTGCCACTCATCATCAAACTGCAACAATCAGTGAAAAAGATTCTTTCCCTATCTTTCAGTCTCAAATTAATTCCTAGAAGAGTTTGCATTTAAAGGTGAATTTGCTATCATATACAAAATTGCTTGAGGCTTCTCAAATCATTTGTTGTTTCTCTGACATATTTCCCCCTCCATTCCAGAAATACAAAACTTTTCTTTCAGGTACAAAAATACCACCTCTAGATCAATTAACTTTGCAGCCCCTCAAGCGGGATATCCTCTAACCACAGAAAGGAAACACATCTGGCATCGCTGTGCTAACACTACGTGACAAGGAGATTAAGGAAGAAGTTTAACAGAAAAAGAAGTTTTAATTCTTTTACGCTTGAAAGCCAAGGAGAGATATAACTAGTTTCACCAAGTACTGTGCGGCAAAACTCTTCACAAACTTGTGATATGTCAATTCCAATCTGTAAAAATCTTTTGCTTGTATTTCTGATTTTGTTTCTACAGACTATTTCAGTTCTGACTCAAAACAATCATGTTAAATTCAGTTCAGGCAGCAATATTTACTTCAAGTGTGAGAATTCATTCTAAATAAACACCAAGCCACAAGTAGCAATGCAATCCAGAGTACCTACTGCAGGTTCTGTTCACCATGCACAAAGGTATCAATTTTATTACAGATCCATGCCCATGAAATTTTAACAATCTGGAACCTTAGTAAGTAGACAAAAGATTATATACAAATTATCACCTTGGAGGCCAAATGTGTTTCAGAAGAGCAAAATTCATTGATTCGAAATGCTGGAAAGCTCAAACCATACATAATACATTGCTCTTTTAACATCACAGCCTGCAACTTGCTCTTACAGACCCTCTACTTCCAGACAGGTGTTGCAAGTGTTTTCTTGAATTTGGACTCACGTGAATGTCCAGTTATAGTCATGAGAAACTCTCTCCATCATGTCCACTTTGGCCCCTGGCACACTGCAGATTGGACGGTTCCAGCTGTCCCGAATGCGCATGTAGAGGTTTCTGTTGTAGAAATTTTCAAAGTCCTGGTACAATGGGACAAAATCCTGAAACACATCAAAAGCACTCAAAGTAAAAGGAAAATATGTATCACAGCAAACTAAGAATAAGAGGAATAAGTCTTTTCTGTCATTCTGCTGTAATGAAAAAAATATAAAGAAAACTTGAAACATACAATAGCCCCCTTCTTGAAACATTTGGGCATATACTCTTTACAAGAGAGGTGTATTCAACCTTCAGAGTTAAGCAGAGCAAGGGAACGTGCAATTGCTTTCTGGCACCAAAGAGTATGCACTGCTCTACTGAATACATAAAGACTTTGAAAACTGAGGTACTCAACCATATTTCATTCTGTGCATAAGAAACGTATTTACTACAGCAGCACTAGCATTATTATACATGCTATCCTTAGAAATTTCCACAATTTTTTGTTCTGAATAGAAGCTAGTAAGCTACATTATGGCATCTCTCTTCTGCACAGCTTATCAGAACTGAAGTCCCACGTGATTTTTATGAATGAGTATTTCCTGAATTTTAGCTTCCCTTCTAACATTTGCAGGAAAAATAAGTGACTGCCTTGAATGGATAACACAAGAATGTCAAACTAACTGTGACAACAAGGACATCTGAACGCTCAAGAACATTTTTTTCTGGCTCCAAAGTCACGAGATTTCCTTTTTACTATTCAATTCAAGAAAGTTTGACATTGAGTAGTGATAAGAATGCACAATTCATTTGCTTCTGGTGAATAAAAAAAGCCTTTTTAATAATCTACAAAAGGAAAAAGTAGAATTTATGACAAAGGTAATAGCCAGCAGAGCATTTCTTCCTGTTTTTCACAGGAAAAATGCCAACATGTTGACAAGCATTTTATTTTTGGTGACAGTATGATGAAGACAGAATATCTGTCTGGCCAAATACTACAGAGTCAGACATTTGTGCCACTGGAGCAAAACTGGGAGTATTTATGGCAGAATTTTAATAAAAATACAAACAAATGGGCACTAACAACCTCTTACTTACAATGCTTGCCTGCAGGAGGAGTGCTTTTTTCTTTACCTTCCGATTTTAATGATTTAACAACTTGGTCCTTGCCGTTTCGAGTAAAGGAACCACCCCTTTGCATCCTCCTACCAGCAGCTGCACAGGGAAGACCTTGCCCAAAAGTGCCACCTTCTAAGCAGACATAGTTGCTCCTAAGCCCCCTTCTGATTTGCCTGTGCACAATGACACACCAAAAAAGCAGAGTTATGGAGAAACAAACCTAATTTAGCTAGTGATCACTCTTCCAAGGAATCAAAAGTATGTCCTTTCTCAGCAAAGAGAGAGAGGGAATAAAATTTCTATGAGCTAAGATGCACAGAAAGGCAATTATTTCTTCTATGTTCCTGTCCCAATTCATGACTCAAAATCAAAATCATTATCTACAATTGTTAGAAACCCTGGCACACTAGAAGATCAATACTTGAGAGATTTGTTATGTCTAATTATAATCTACCGAGATTTTTCTATGCATTTTCAACTACTGTTAACTAACTCTTCATGAGAATTCAGCTTTGCAAAAGTTATCCAAGCATATCAACTATGTGACCCAAGAAACAATTGATATTTTAGCCAAGGTTATGGCTAGGAGAGGGAGGCTGGAAATGAGTCATTATACCAACTCAAGCAGGTATGCCTGGGTTGATTCACTCCAATCTCACTTCAGATTACTCATCAGATAGAGCATATTTTCTTCTGCTACCAAGCCAGAAGAGTAACAAGCTCAACTGGTGAGATAAAGACAATCACCCACAACAGGTTGACACCACCAGTATATGCAACACAAATATGATCTTACAAGCCAACAGCAGAACTAAGTTTTTAAAGTAATTTAACTGTGAATTAGAACCTAACAGATTGTGATAAGGGAAAAATATGCCTTAAAAGTCTACAAGAATTCAAGAAACAAATTAGGGTAAGGGAATTAAGGTCTGATATGGGACACTAGGTTTAGTTTTTTGGGGTACCAAGCTGTAGGATTACAGCAAAGGGCTCTAAGTGAAGCATTAGCATAATGCCAGCCCCTTTGCTGCCTGTACATGCACCCCTCCCTCCAATAAACAACCCTTAGATAGCTCTCTTGAGAAAGTTCCTTGGAATAGGAGAGGCAGGAAGTGTTATTTTGGCATAATGTAAAACTGGATTGTCTATTTCCTCAGTAATCCTAACCTCACCAAGGGGTTCTCATGACCCACCCATCTGAGAACGCAAAAAGAGAAATGGTAGGGTTATCATGCCTTTATAAACTGACACTGACTTTTAGAGTTTAAGAGCCCTCTTTTGGAGCCGGCATACAGGATCAGCTCATGTGCTAGTTGTTTTAGGCGTTGTTTTTTTTGTTTGTTTGTTTGTTTCCCTCCTCTGTCCTTCTACAGTGTGGTATTCCAAAAGACAGGAGAGCAAAAAGACCATTTGAATTCCACATGCAAATTTAATGCTTTCACTCTTTGAGCCAAGAAAAAAACCATCTGTGGAGGAAGGGGGATAAATTCTACCAATCCATACTATTTCAAATTTTTGGCATATGCAGCCACAGTGCTCTGCTGCAATAGTGTCCTACTGCTGGAAGCAACCACTATTGCTTTTAAATGGCCTTCAGAGCTTGTTATTTTTCCAGCCTCATCCAGTTCTCATTCTCTAACAGACTCTAAGAACACCAGTCTGAGATTAAACAGTCTGAGATTTCACTTGGAGGAAAAATATTCCAGGAGTAAATTGATTCTTTGAGCAATTTTCAGAGTGAGCACCGCCAAACAACTGCAAAAGGTATACTGCTAACAAAGGAGGGAGCAATGGCAGCATGTTCTTCCATTCATGGCGCTAAAAAATCCCAAATATCTCTGTTCCTGTCAGTTTAAGCCTAGAACACATCCTCTATTAGAGAGGTGATGCCTGATGAAACCTAAACTCTAGTGGTCTCCCAGAAACCTGAAAATCATAGCAATTTTAAGAAAGAGCCAAATAAGGAAAGAATAAAATTCTTCCTTGGGGTGCAACACCTTAGCACAGGTGATTTGGGATCCATTACTTCACTGTACTGTAAATTAATACTACAACAAGTGAAGGTCATAATGAGAGCTTTGTAGGCATTAGCTTGGGGCACAGTGACATGCAAATGCAGTGATTATGCTGCTTTTATTTAGAGCCAAGTTTTCACAACATTGCACCTAAGCTAACAAATGGTGCCATGAGCACCAGCAGGGCTTATCTGCAATTCAGATAATGCACTCCCTGATAATACATAACTGACTCTGAATGGAAATCAAGTAGACAATTGCAGCAAATTTCAGGCCTCTAAAAGGAAGCAGAAAGACCAGTTCCATCTCACTGCTGTGTGAGTCAAGAAAAAGCCGAGCAGGAACTGTAGGTAACCTTTATACTGTCAGGTGGCCTCTGATGAGCTATAGAGAAACTAAGAGAACACTGAACTCTAGTTTACTGGCCCTGAGACACTCCAAGAGCTAGACTCCTGTGAGCAAGTGTTGAAAGCCCCAGATGCTAGAAACATGTTTTAACTGGGCAAGCTACTGAGTACAGAGGGGTATGTTAGAGTTACCAGCCCCATGGGCACAGTTGCTCCCAAATAAAAAACAAGCATGGTAATCAATAGGCAAATCAGACTGGAAAGAAGGGAGAAGTGATTTTCATCTCGCCTATAAAATCCTATAAGCATTTTGCAGATTTAACTACATTGTATGACCAGCCAGTATACTAAATTGGGTACACAGAAATTCATTCTAAGGTAATTAAGGATTGTTAGTCTTGCCACTTACCCATGCCTAAAAGAGACTAATAATGCTTCAGAGAGGATATGCTACACAACACTGGTTTCCAGGAAAAGCCCAGCTGGATATATTTTAAACAAAGCCAAAACCCATCAAGTTATTTCCTGGAAATCAGTACTAGCAAAGTCTGTAACTTTTTACCCTCTTGTGTTCCAACAATGAGGGAATACTAGGTTTTCTTGGAATCATTCATATGATTCTAATAAATTTGGCTCTAATAAATTCCAAGGAATTTACTCTCCGACAGAGACAGTCCTAATTCAGACTGGTTCAAAATCCTGCTCTGCTCTTTAAATTAGTTTGATCACTTGCAGTTTCTAGTTACAATGCACAGAATATGGTTATAACGTTAAGTGATAATTTAAGGAAGAACTAAACTGCCCTCCAAACTCAGAAAATCCGAAGGTGGCTTTTTCTCTTGTTTTTAATACTACATTTTGAACCTGAGTTTATGTTATGCTTTTAACTGTGATCACCTTCATAAACACACCACCAAAAATTCACATACTTCAATTCCATGAATGTCAGAACAGGTTCATTCAGTCCTTTACAAAATACTTCCTCACACTAGGTAATTTTGTTGTGCTCACAAAGGAGGCTGTCACACACTGTTCAGCTACACAGCTACTCCCACTGCCTTTGCTTTGAGCTTTTCACCTAAGCAATTATGAACTATTTCAAAAAGATAAGGCTAACCCTTTTGCTTAATACTTCAGAAAATAATAATCTAGCTGGCTCTTTAGCATTTAAATAATAAAAATGTTACTTTCCACACAGAGGTCACAAATCTGCCAAAAAGTACCCCAGGGTAATCGCAGGCCTCCTCTGATTTGAATGTATTAATAATAATAATACAAAAGGTGAGTTTTGAGCCTTTGCTGCACACTTGTATCTGCATTCTCTCACCAAAAGGTGATTGGGCTGTCATCCAGCAGCTTGAAAGATTCAAATATTTAAAAATCATGAGAAAATCACTTCAAAACAAGTCATTGAGTCCATGCTTCCCCCGCCTCTACCCCGCACCAAAAACCCCTGGCTCCCACACTAGATATGCTGCAATATGCTCTCGTCAATTCATTTGCAGGCAAACAATGCTTAAAGCAGCAAAGTGTGAAGATAAGTATTGTATATTCTAGACCTCACATGATCACTTTTCTATTTGTCTGATATCGGAAACAGCTATTACAATCTAAGCACTAGGAATGTGATTTGGGGAAGTACACTAGGCTGAGAGTTCTTCAACACCAAAACTTTTTTAAACAGAATTTCCTGTTTTTCATTCTTACGCAATATTCACTGGCAGTTCTTGCTAGCTCCACTCACAGACATCCTATGTACAAAACAAAACCAGAATACATCCATCTCTTCATGGAAGCTGTGACTGACACAGAAACTGATACAGTTTTAATCCATCTGTCTAGAAGGTATACTTGTTAAGCAAATCTCTTTCAGGGTAAGATGTGATGCTGAGTTAACTTATAAAAAAATTCAGGGCTAAATTTCTTTTAGGACTAGGATAATCTGTTGCTAACAAACTCTATGCTTTAAAGTCCTCTGTAGGACTGTGAAGTAATTTTAGGCACTGCTTAGTTTACTGCATCTTAGCTAATCTACTGTAAAAAGACATGCACTTTACTCCAGTGATGTCTCCAAAAAAAGGCTTCAAAGGAACCTTCCTTTTTTTAGTTCCTCCCTGCCACCGTGTTTTATTTGTTTGCCTTATTGAGATGTCCTTCCTGTCCCCCCTATTTTCTGCTAGCCAACTGCTTGTGTGGCTGCACAGAGAACCAGAAACCAGCAACTGGAAAAGGAACTCCCTTTACATTTTATAAGTCAGATTGGCTCCTCAAAGAAGTTGAGAAAAACACAAGCCAAATCATCAGAACCCAAATTATCAAGTGTAAAACCTTTGGAGATAGCTCAAATGGTAGTCACACTGTGCTAAGAGGGGTCACATTAAGAGTTAGCAATGAAATAGGTTGTGAACTTCAAGTTTCAGCAGTAGCATTCATAACAGTAATCAACTCCTGTGGAGAATAAAGACCTCTAAAAATAATTTATAACTACTCAAAACCAAAATTATCTATTCTATACTAACTGCTGAAGCAGGTAAGACCTTCTACCTGGTAACAGAAACTTTTCTGAATAGGTCATAACATGAATGAATTCCTTTTAATCACTATCAGTGAGCCAGGAGTCAACCTCAGACTACTCACCAGCTAGCCTGCTAGTGTTCTGGACTCCAAATTTAAAATCATACAACTTGTCTTCTCGACCTGACCCACAAGCTTCTCTTTGCAACTGCTTCAGCTAAAGAGAATTAATAACATGTTTCTAAATCAAAATTCAGCCACCAGAGCAGCATCAGAAAGACTCCCACTGGTGTCAAACTCAGACCAGAACCTTTGATAAAGCTTTTATTAGCTGCTGATGCTGCCATATGCAGTCTCCCCCAAGCCCTTGTTCCTGCAGCTGGGACATCTCTCAGGATGTTGATATAACTGTTGAAGCAGCTTTGCAGTGAACCAGATGAGGGAACTGCTCTGCCAAAAAATAGCCCAGCTAAAAGAAACCGTATTTTGTTTAATGACACAACTGTATTTGTATATTATTTGGGGCACTCGGAAGACAAGGAAAGCAGCAGAAAACTTTGACCACCACTGCTCCCCAAATAAGACTCAAGCCTCAGCAACACCATTTCCCAGTGGTTACCTTCTGTTCTTCTCTTTCTGTTGCATTTTGACATTTCTCAATCTTCCACTGCCGCATGAAATCTCGCAGATATCCAAAGAGAGTAAGAACACCATAGCCTACGTAGGTCAGCACAGCAACCAGCATTGGTGTTTCTTCAAAAGCTTCATTGAAAGGCCTTTTGTATAATCCTCCATTGTGCACAATGTGATTTATCTACAGTAAAAATTTAAAGAGAGGCAGTTGAGGTATTAATTCAAGAAAGACAGACAGGCATTCCAGAGTAGTCCCCCAGTCTCTGATCAGTTATAGGCTCTGCATCCCACCCCACTCAGCAAAAAGTGCTTCCAACTAGGTTCAGCCTTCACTGATGAATATGTCAGTCTCCATATATGGGGCTGCCAAGTTGTTGATATAGCCAACGTCAAAGCTGCCAATCTAGTGCAGTTTCATCTAACATCTCATTAAAGTTATTTAGCTTACAAAGCTACACAGAGAGCATTGCTTACATCCAGGCCAACCAAAATGAAAAAACTGCCTTCCTCTTCACAAAGAACTAGGTAGGCACAAATAACAGAATAGCGATGCTTCGCAGGCTCACTACAGAGAAAAAACAAAATAGAAAGCAATAGCTTTATTGATCTAAACAATGTATTCTTAGGCTTGGAAGCCTATATTAGTGTAACAAAACAAGCATAATCTGTGTGTCTCTGTTAGCCTAAAGATACTGACATAAACATTGTACTCATCCATGAGGCAGACATGACACCACAGACAAAAAAGTCATTGTATATAGAGTCTCAATACTGCATATATGTCAGCACACAGAACAAAGCAAGGCTTTCTGCATAAAATCCACGCTAAAAGTCATCTTGCTACTTACATATTATCTCCTGAAGGTAAGAGCTTTACTAGCTGTGTAATACATGCAGCAGGTCCATCTCAAGTACAATTACTCTAATACATTATATTTCACAGAATTACAGAACATGCCAAGTGGGAAGGGCCCCACAAGGATCATCTAGTCCAACTCCCTGTTTATGACTGTTACAGAAAAACTTCATGACTACAAGGCAAGTGCTCACCCAACATTAACACTGGGGGAAAAACATCATGGTTTTAACTTTACTTGTTCAAAGAGTTAAGTTAAAGATCATATCTCATAAATCCATGTACCAAAACACAGAAACCTAGTCAACAGATGCAAATTGCTACTGGCATTGCTAAAAGTTAAAGAATGGCTGCACTATAATAGAATAGCCACATATGAAAGAACACTCTCCAAGACATAAATCCCCTATTTGTAGCATAAGATATATAAGAAGAAATGTATTTTTTAAGACGTACTAATCAAAGAAACCTCAACGCCTAGGAAAGAGATTGAAACTAAATTCATCCGCAATGGACAGCAGCAAACAATTGCTGAGGGGTGCAGGCCAGTAGACAGAATAAAACCAGTTATTCACCCTTGTCACTCACGTTATCATAGGGGAAAGTAAAGCAGAATTGTACTAACCTCTGCAATGGACAACAAATCAAAGATACGCATACTTGCTGGCCTCACCAGACAGTGCATGATTAGGAAATCTGCTCATTTCAGGTGCTGAAGCAAGTCTATATTTCAAGTCTGTCACTAATATCATGAAAGTAATTTTTCAGAAGCAAGCGTCTGCTCTGAGGATATAATTATGCTCTAGCTATGAAGTCACTCAGTATAAACTGCAACAGCACCTCCCTCCTGATAGTCTTTTCTACCTCTTCCCTTTTGCTAACACAGACATTCAGGAAAAATTTAACCCCAGGAAACCCTTGATTTGGTCTCCATAGTTGTGGGGACTTTACAACTGGTGTGTAAACACAAAGTGTGGAAACAAAACAGGAAAGACACAGGAGGAACTTCTCTTTTATCAGCAGCACTTATGCCAGATGCAGGTAACTAACGCAGTGCTTTGAGGCCAGGTTTAATGCTCAAGTAGTGGTAGCTTAAGTTAGAAAATTACCATGCTTTGGAACAACTGCAGGAACACTTAACACATTGCAGCTCACATGCTGGCAATTTAAAGCTTTAACAGAGGCCAAAGGTTCACACACCCCTTTCTTCATGAACGGTGCCAGCCACAGAAACTGCCCCTGTCCCATTCACTCCCACTTTCAGCCATCTGCACCAGCCTACAGCTTGCACAACTAAAGCTAATCTAATTATCATCATAGCGTCCCTGCAACACTGAACTGATCCAGGTTGAAAATATAATTGCTCGCTGAAGATTATTTGTTAGACCATAAGAGTCTTTACAGCACTGCTCCATAAAGTCATTCTTAGAGCTCAGCAAACAAGAGCCAGTGGCTGTTGGAGAGAAGGGAGGGACAGCAGTACCATCATGACAATCACAGAGTTGGTGTGCCAAGGCTGGAGAAGAAAAACCACGAAAGTCACCTCTGTTACTCTCAGGATTGCTTAACTGTATCACCATGGCTCAGCCCATGAAACCATAGTATTTTATTGCATCCTGATCTGAGAAAAATCATGCACCAAAGCTCCAACCACTAAAACTTCACAGCTTGATGAATTACAAGTAGAATTTTGCATCTTCACACTGACAGATCAGGCTGTGAATAGCAGCTATTCATGGGCAGGCACACTACATACCTGCTACCTGTGGCTGTCTACTAACAGTAGACAGTCTCCTATCCAAGAGATTTCTGGAAAAACAGATAGAAAACTGGTAGTGACTACTTCACAAATTACCTAGTATCAAATAAATAGAGATCACATCAAAGCTTTTAATGTATTTTCCAGATAACTGGAAGTTCATCTGGAAGAAATGAATGACTACATCCTAAGATTATGGATCTGAAGTTACCTAATACCAAAAAGTAGCTACTGAAAAAAACCACAAACAAACAGACCCAAATCTGTATGCACATTTAAAAAAATACCAGTCTTTTCCAGGTCTTTGGAGGTGCCTGTGCTTGTAACAAATGCTAAAACTAAACAAATTATTCCATATGGTTAAACCCAACATTTCACTAAGAAAGGTCCTTTTAGGAATACCTGTATTGATTCAACACATACTCCAATCAGTTTCACCTCTCAGTGTTCTACCAATGTGCTTATAAATTCTTATACTCACATCTGCTACCATATAAACTGAGAAGCTTCTATGTCATCCTAGCTGAATCAAAAATTAAAGAAATACTCTGAATGCAATCCCACAAACTCTTCATGATGCATACAGTGACTGTGAATACACTCTAGAATTGACTACAGAAGAGACATTTGTAGACATATTTTAGATACAAGCCTATTAATTTTTCTAAGAATGCCTTATAAATCCACACATTAGCCTTCAAATGAAGGCTTACACGCAAAAGAGAAGCAAGCTTATTTCCAAAGACCAAGAAAGAAGGTAGCTACAGTTTAGTGATTAATTTCCTATTCTGGGGAGGGGAAAAAAAAGGCATGCAATATTAAAACTTTTATGGTTTCAACAAGCCTTATGATAATAAAGTGAGCCATGACCTTTGAAGTAGAATACACAGCACAGTCAAGTGGAGACTACAGAGAAAAGTCAGAGTCCACTTACACACGTGGTTAAAAAAAGCTCATGTATGCTCACCCACATCTCTTTCCTATACTGCCCAGACTACATGTAAAAAGAAGAGCACCATCACTAAGAAACTCAACTGCAGGAGAAACACCAGAGAGCACCAGGCAGCAAAGAATCAACCACAGGTAAAACCTGTGTTAGGCCAAGCTCCCAGGGAAGCGCATCACATAAAACAGTATTGTAACAGTTACTGAGGAGGAGCATACAGGTACTGCTAGAAAGGACTTCATTGGTCTAAGCAGAACACATCAAAGTCTGATTATAATCAAAGAATTTACTGGGTTAGAAGGGACCCACAAGGATCTTCAACTTCTGGCCCAACAGCACAACTCCAAGAAGCGCTTCTTATATTTGAGGTCTCCCCTCAGTCTCCTCCAGGCTGAACAGACCAAGTGACCTCAGCCGCTCTTCATATGGCTTCCCCTCAAGGCCCTTCACAGTCTTGGTAGCCATCCTGTGGACACTTTCTAATAGTTTTACATCCTTTGTGAGAAGACAAAAGCCATGTGTAAACACGGGAACATTTGCAGATGCTACTGTAGACAGCACACAAGATTTATCACAGGACTCTGGGTCCACAGCTTGCACGGCAGGCGTGCAATTTAGGGAGAGAAGATGCTACAAATGCAATAAACATGGCACACAGGAAGAGAGACGTACACTGTAACTGGTTATGCTGCTACCCCAGGAAAAACACAGCACTCTATTACTGAGTCCATTTCTTTCATGCTGCCAGGAAGAACAAATTCAGATGAACCTGACAGACTTTATGTAAACACCTTAAAAAGATTATGCTGGGGCACAACTTCACTAAATTCTTATTAAAATTTACTAGCTTCTCATTGCCACATACCACACGAATTGCAGGAATTTTACTAGCAGCTTTGCAGCTTCTGTTTTTTAGAAACACAGTGTGGAAGACTGCTTCCACGAGCATGCCTCCATATGCCGAAGTGGTCACATTTATTAAAAAGCATTGAGGGAACTGACACTACAGAAACCACAGCAATGAGAACTCCACAAAGGCAGCTGCTCTAAGCTGCTAGGGTATTCTGTGGTAATGTTACTATTGCCTCCAGCCCTCTTCCTTCCAATGCTTTGCTCTTAGACTTCAAATCTCAGACTGTTGCATAGGTAAAAGGACCAAGTATTTACTACCAAAATTAGAATTAACAGATTTGAATCACGATTTAATCTTTCACAAAAAAAAAAAAAATTTCACAGGAGAAAAACTTGTTTTACAAAACAGACTTAACACTCATATTTTCATAATTAAACATTTGTTCTTGTTGACAGATGTTATCAAATATTTTTATTTGCAACTAGTTACTCCAAACAAATTTGACAGTCCTTTGTTAAAATGCACTTACCTCATCCACACAAACACAGTGTAAATCTCCATAATGTTTAAGGGGTCCTTAGGGTTTGGGTTGGGTTTTTTTTCTTTCCCTTTAGCAAGTAAAGGATGCAATTAAATTTGGGGGGGTTGCTTGCTACACATGGGTACACATGACATTTTGAACCCTACTGAGAATATACTTTTTTCCCAACAGTTTACCTTAAATTACCTTAAACCTTGTATGTAACTTTATCTAGAACATTCAGTAG